TGTTCATAAATGCACTTAATGAACACTAATTATGCTATTCACTTGTCACTTATTTAGTGGAGGACCTAGGGGGTAATGGAGGAAAGCGCTAGTCCCGGCTAATATGTGCCTAGCCGCCTAGGTAATAAGGATCTCCTTCCACTTCAAATCGAATTGAATAATACTCCCTCTTGTAACATTCATATCTTCCCACTTTTCTTTTTTGGATGTAACATTTATATCTTCCCATTTCTAAATCTTTCTATCATACACTCAATAATTTAAAAAAGAATACTCCCTCCGTAACTTAAAAATCTTCCCACTTTCCTTTTTCGTCCGTAACAAAAAAATCTTCTCATTTCTAAATCTTCCCATCATACCCTCAATAATTTCTAAAATAATACACTATTACAACTACTTTTTTTGGATTTATCCTACATTCCACCACATTATTCCACAATTTTCTCATCATACCCTCAATAATTCATATCATCTTTCACTATTCTTAATCTACCTACTTTTGAAATGAGAAGATTTCAAAGTTACGGAGGGAGTACATTACTACACCTACTTTTTTTGGATTTATCCTTCATTCCATCACATTATTTCACCATATTCTCATCATACCCTCAATAATTCATACCCCATTTCACTATTCTTAATCTCACCCACTTTGGAAGTGAGAAGATATATGTGAGAGAGAGGGAGTATTAATTTGTTCACAGGTTTGTTCATGATAAAATGTAATAAGGTCACTTGTTCATGATAAAATGTAATAAGGTCACGTGTCAGACACTTTATCATGAAAAAATTAAACCAGAGTCATGAGAAAAAATAGTGTCCAATAATGACATACAGCCATATTGACATATCCTGTAAAACCGTTTTTGTATTTGAATATGATAATAGTTTGATAGAGTATAAAATTAAATTTTAAAGAGTTATGTTGAAGGCAGAAAGAGACAAAGAGTAGACATATACTGCCCTTTACATTTTGATCCTAGTAGTACACATTGTTTGTGTACACAGACAATTTGACATCAAATATTGCCTCTTTTTAAACAAATTGCATGTGTACACAGACAATTTGACATCAAATATTGCCTCTTTTTAAACAAATTGCATGTGTACACAGACAACTAGGGAGGTTTTGTGTACAACTTGTGTACAACTCATGTACACTAAGCATTTTCCATATTTTAAACTAGTAATTTTGTTGCAAGGTTGGATAAGGCCCTAGTTCTTCATGGAAACTTGGGTGGTTAGTCTTCATAGTGTAAAAGTTTACACCTGGGTAGTACTAGAGAGTTATGTTGTGATTCGTTTTCTTTAAAAAGTGAATGTTGACGGGTCAAATGCATACCTTAACTATTGGTAATGTTGCATTTTGGTACCGAAATTCTTAAATGAATCAAAACGATACCTTAACTATACATAAATATTTCGAATTGAAATTTTATTCAAATTTTCGACCAAAAAATCACATGTGACGGCCAGAATAAGGTAAAGTCTACTTCACCTTATTTTTGTATATATGATAAATATAGGGTGACTCTACACATGGAATTTTGATCATCAAGAAGGATGTTTTTTGTCAAAATTTTGAATAAAATCTCAATTTGAAACATTTACGTATAGTTAAGGTATCATTTTGATTCATTTAAAAGTTAAAGTACCAAAATGCAATATTACCAATAGTTAAGTACTCCCTCCGTCCCCCTAAGTTTGGGACAGAGGGGTGTGGTGTGGTTTTTAAGAAAAAGTGGAATTGTGTGGTTGGTATTGAATTGATAAAGTGTAAATAAAGTAAGAATGAATTCTAACCACTCAAATGTTACCATATATAGTATGGGACAAACTTAGTGGGACGGACGAAAAAGGTAAAACGGGACAAACTTAGGGGGACGGGGGGAGTATCATTTATGAATTTGATCCGAATGTGGACGTTTAGAATGAGACCAAGAAGTCAGTGGCGGATCGAGCATGGGGGCAAATGGGGGCAGCTGTCCCACCAAAATTTTATTTTCCTAGGTATATTTACCCCGAAATTTTAATATATATATATATATATATATATATATATATATATATATATATAGAATTTGGATCAAATAAAAAAAAGTCTTAACGTGTAAAATGAGAATTAATCTCAGCCGTCCAAACTGTCGATCTAATTCACAATAACCGCTATCTGATGCACTTTCGAATAAACCTTAATTGATGCACTTTTCAAAAAGTGCATCAAATAAGGTTTACTCGAAAGTGCATCGGATATGGTTTATTGTGCATCAGATTGACATTTTGGACGGATGAGATTAATTCTCATTTTACACGTTAAGATGTCTTCTCATTTGAATGCATCCCTATAGACTTTGGTTCAAATGAGAACATCTCTTAATGTGAGAAATGAGAACAAATCTCAGCCATCCAATATAAGTGGTGATCAACGATCAAATATATGATGGATGAGGGCATATACGTCTTCTTCTGTCTTGGCAGTTTATTTGACCAATCTAGCAGTTATGCGTTCCACATGTTTAGTAAGGAAAGAATAAACTACAAATCACGTTCCACCTGTTTGTTATTGAAACAAATTTTCTTTTTATAAAACCTTTTCGGTCAACCATCATCTTCTCCAGTTTTCTCTGCTACAACACAGACACTACATCAACTTAATTTGATATTCCTGAAAATCAATTCATCTCTAAGCCATAAATCTCGTGAAGCACAAGTAACACCGTTCTACATGCACAATAAACCTAATCAAAATCAGTCCATCTCCTAATGCACAAATAATTTACAGTAGTACACATGCAAATTAAACCAAAATCAGAATTGTTATTTCTTCAAAATCAGTAAGTTCAAAGGACATTTTCTATTATCACAAAAAATCCTTTCAGATGCAATTCTACATGACGCTACAACAACTTAATTTGAAATTCTTGAAAGTCAGTTCATCTCTTATCCAGAAATCTCGTGATACACAACACACCGTTCTAAATGCACAATAAACCAAAAGAAAATCAGTTCATCTCCTAATGCACAAAAAGTTTACAGTTGCACACATGCAAGCCAAAATCGAAATTGTAAGTCTTGAAAATGATTAATCTCACAGATCGTTTTCTATTTTCACAAAATATCATCTGAGATGCAATTCTACATGACAGTATGACACTACACCAATTTCATTTGAAATTCTTGAAAATCAATTATCTCTAATCTAGAAATCTTGTGATGCACAACTCATAGGTCGATGTTCACTTGCACAATAATATCTTCTCTCTGCACTTTTTTGTTGGTTTAATTTTCCGCCGGCAACTCCAGTACTCCACCTTGTATTTGTTTTTATTATCATGACTCCACCTTGTATATTCGAAACTCAATTTCTTCTTTCCATATTGACATGTGCTTACTTTTTTCAGTTTAATAACTCCTCCGGGTCTTATGTGATTTTGGCTATTTTTTGGGGAGTAGATATGGGAAGACGCCGCCTCATAATAGACATGTGGATTAGTGAATTACAGTTTCACCCTTTATTACATCCTCGCCCCACTTTTCATTATGTGAGATATTTTAGCATGCGATGATGTCCATATTTGTATCGTGAACCAATCAACTTACAGCCGGTCATTTAATTAGATGGAAGGTTATGATTTGTTCTTACTTCTCACGATAAGAGGTGTTCTCATTGGAACCACTCCCTATATATATATATATATATATATATATATATATATATATATATATATATATATACACAAATATTCCTGTCCGGACGTCCGGACAGGAACCGCCGTACGGACCGCGGCGTTTGGCCGCCTTCCCGGTGGAATTTTTTGATGAAATTTTTATGGCATGTTCTCCATCAAGTCTAGTTTATCCACAAAAAAATTCAGCTAAAAACTCAATCGGGAAGGTCGTCAAATGATTTTTGCAAGTTAACTGGTCCGGAATATGTATTTTCCGGACCAGTTAACTTGTAAAAATCATTTGACGACCTTCCCGATTGAGTTTTTGGCTGAATTTTTTTGTGGATAAACTAGACTTGATGGAGAACATGCCATAAAAATTTCATCAAAAAAAGCCACCGGGAAGGCGGCCAAACGCCTTGGTCCGGACGGCGGTTCCGGTCAGGAGCTCCTGACCGGATCATTACTCTATATATATATATATATATAGGGTAAGGTTCAAGTGAGAAGAACCCTTTGGGTGAGAAATGAGAATGAATCTCAGCCATTGGATTCGACTAAGTTGCAGTAAAAGACACTTCATGATGCACTGAAATATGCAATCTAGCACGGTGGCATTTCAGTAAATACTTCTGAAAAATCCGTATTACACGTGTCTAGTGCAACATGAAGCTATTTCGGTGCAACGCCGTCAAATATTAGTGCACCATGAAACAATTTTAGTGCAACATGTGCAAAATTTAAATATTACTGCAACATAAAGCCAATTTTAGTGCAACTTCGTAAATCCAATGGCTGAGATTCGTTCTCATTTCTCACATTAGATGCATTTCTCACCTGAACCAAAATCTATATATATATATATATATATATATATATATATATATATATATATAGAGTGCTCTTCATGTCAGGCCGGCCTGACGGGCTGCCCCGTCCGGCCGAGCCCGTTTGGGCACCTTCCCGGTGGAATTTTTTGATGAAATTTTTTGAGCATGTTCCTCGTCAAGTCTAGTTTGTCCATACCAAATTTCAGCTCAAAATTCGATCGGGAAGGTCGTCAAATGATTTTTGCAAGTTAACTGGTCCGGAAAATTCGATCGGGAAGGTCGTCAAATGATTTTTGCAAGTTAACTCGCAGAAAGGATATTTTCAGACTTGAGACCACGGTCTGGTTTGAAATATCTTGGTATGCAGGACTGTAAGATGGGATCATGGGGATATGAAGAGATAGGTGGCTAGCACACGTGCTGATAAGTGATAACTCTCCTGATAATGAACTATCATTCCAGGAGTTGGTGGGAGGAAGAGAGTGAGACAAACATCACTAGCTCTTGCTCCAGGATCTAAAGGATCAGGAGATTCATAAACAGTGGCAAATGATGAGTCAAGATTAAACATTCTTTAGTGCGGTGGAGGAAATGGTAAAAATACACAAGGCTGAAGGAAATATAAGAAAAGGATGGAGGCTGACCTAGAGTAGAAAGCAGAGTCTAGTTGTGGTGGCGGCTGATTTTTTTGTGAATTTTGGGAACAAAAGTGGGGAGTCGGTAAGGGATATATGTTGATGAGTACAGCTACAGAATATTTAACAATGGCAATAGTTAGGGAGAGAAGGTGGAGATACATGTGCTTGTCTTCCCAAGACATACACAAATCAAGATAACATGAATACTTGTACATGGAATCCTTATAACTTTCAATCATTTATGCTTCACACTGACGTGGATAGATGTACACGCTCACTTCCCCTTACCTAAAGTTCCTCTCATACTCAAGATGGACATGTTCTTCACACCATGGGTCTAGCTAGGGGCCAGGGGAAACCCTGCATAGAGGACATTGGTCTGTGGAAATCTTCTAACTATAACATTTTCAGTGCAGTCGAGATTTCCGTCTAGCAGACTCCTTGCCCCAGTCATCCCCAGTGGTTGTCATTAGTACCTAACCTTACCCTTGGTTTGGCAATTCCAACCCAATAACGGTTGTACCAGAAATAATCTGGTATAGGAGAGTCAGGTAAAGTAGCGACAGCTCAAAAAAGGACATCTTTGCATCGTAAGTAATGTTCTACCAAGCTCATTGCTAGTGAATGAAAGCATCTCATGATTCTCATCATTGATGCTTAAAAAAAAGCTTTAGCTATTTTAGCCTTTTTGTCAAACAATTTGACCAAAGCTTTCATCTATGTTATTCTTAACTTATACTACATGACTCTGCTTTATGAGTTTCTAATGAGTAATATACCTAGATATGACTAAAATGTAGGATGGTTTCCTAAATATGACACTCAGAATGTTTTTTCTTTGTTCAATTCCATTTCATATCTTCTAGGATGAAGGTATTCATAGTTTTGTTTTCCCTTGGTCCTGAAGTATAAAGCTGCTTTACTTTTAGCGTAACTTTAATGAGGATAAGTGAAGTGTAGTTCAAGATCCAAATTTGACTCATGTGGGACCATTTGGGTCAAAGTCATTTGAAAAGAAGTAAGAGAGAGAGGGATAAGTTGAACTATAAAAAGTAAAAGCCTAGTGGTGTTCGAAACTTCGAATTAGGAAACTCAACCCTATTTTGGGACGGACTGAAAGGTAAAGCAGGGCACATACAGTGAGACATATGCAGCATTTGTTTACTATATACATCTGTTTGTTTTGATTTCCTTGATTTTACCTCTTTGTCTTGTAGATTTAGTTTGGCTAGCTGATAAGTTAGTTTAAAGTCTTGCACACATCTTTTCCCCCTTTTGGGCAACTAAATTGTAATGACTAGTGTTAGTTGTGGACATGCTACTTCTTTTGCAAGTTGATTTCATGCACAATCATTTTTTAGGTAATGGAAGTTCAGGGTGGCAAGCACCTGAACAGCTTCGTCATGAACGTCAAACGCGTGCTGTAGACTTATTTAGTTTAGGCTGTGTCATGTTCTTCTGCATAACTGGTGGCAAACATCCATATGGTCAGAGTCTTGAACGTGATACAAATATAGTAAATGATCGAAAAGACCTCTTCTTGATAGAGAATATGCCTGAAGCAACTGATCTGATATCTCAACTCCTACATCCATATCCAGACTCCAGGTATTCATTTCATTAGATTGATTTTCTCTTTCTTTTGAGAATTGTACATTGAAGTTTAGTCACTCTTCAAATTTCAACCATGCCCTGGCGTGTGTATTAGGGTCAACATGGTCCCATTCCAGACCGGGATCAGCCATTTTTTATTGGAGACTGAACCGACTTTCCAGTTCCAGACCAGAACTGATATTGGGCAGCGGTCCAAGCCCAGTATGGTTCTGGTTCCTCCAAAATAGGTGTGGGCCAGTTTTAGTCCCACTCTTTAAAAACAGGCTAAAAACTGACCTGAGAACCGAATAGGTTAAAGTATGTTTTGCTCCAGTCCCTCCTTCCTCATGACATGGATACAGAACCGTACCGTAAATGACATGCAACTGGATGGGCTATACCAGTATACCAGGTTCTGGATTCGGGACCCTCTTTTCCCATGACCTAGAATCGGCCAGCCCAGAACGTAAACCAAACCGGATAGACCCCTTTGTGTATTCAATGAATCTACTCATTGTTGAAGATAATCTGTTTCTTTCCATAGGCCAACGGCTGTGGAGGTACTGAATCACCCTTTCTTTTGGAAACCTGAAACAAGGCTGTCTTTTCTTCGAGATGCTAGTGATAGGCTAGAACTTGAGGATAGGGACAGTGAATCCGAGATCCTGACAGCAGTAGAAAGTATCAAGACAGTGGCTTTGGGCGGTTCGTGGGATGCAAAAATGGACAGTGCCTTCATCAATGACATTGGTCGCTATAGGCGTTACAAATTTGACAGTGTTAGAGATCTATTGCGGGTGATTAGAAACAAGCTAAACCATTACCGAGAGCTCTCAATGGAGATTCAGGGACTTTTGGGACAGGTTCCTGAAGGATTTGACTCCTACTTCTCATCCCGCTTCCCCAGTCTTGTAGTGGAAGTTTACAAAGTCATTCAAAGATATTGTGCGGATGAACAAATATTTCGAATCTATTTCCAAAACAATCATATTTAACACCTATTCATCTATACTGTTCATATCTGATTAAGAGCTTTCCCATTTTTAACCTTTTGAGTTGCTAACTTGTATTTGTGTGCATATATGCTGTAAATTGTGATCATTATTGTAACAATAATTCAATAACAAATGTTTCTCCCACCTTAAAAAACGAGTCATTTTGTTTATATTTTTTGTATTTTAAATCAGCAAGCTGTGAATGAGTGATTATGGTTGGTGACAACCCAACAGAGATCCTAGATATAGAAGAGAGTTCTCCTGTTGTGATTTGAGATCCCTAATTCTGTATAAAGTATTGAAGTTGAGTAATTGCTATCGCCAATATGATACGTATATGTGGGGGGCAGGGCGGGGGATTCTTGGAGCTATACACATTGCATGCTCGATTAGCCGATTAGGGATGGATTGGGACCAAGATGGGCTTCGGGATGGGACTGGGTGGGCTTCGGTCTTAAGGATTTAAGGCTAGGTACCGCCGTACCGGTTCTGGCTGGACCCAAACAATGTCGGGTCGGGTGGGGCTTATGGACGGGACTGGGCATTCAATTAAAAAAAATAGTGCAATCGGCCCCGGACCGGACCCAAAAATCGAGCCCAAAGCCTGCCCTTCTAGTCACTGGACCGTGCCCCGGGATGGGACCGGGCCTATATAGTAACGGGCTAGTCCGGGCCTAAACAGTACCGGGTCTGGGTCGAGCCGGCCCGTCCCAGACTCCCATTCCATCCCTATGCTCGATTATGGTCTCAAAAGGAAGAACTTTAATTGGAAGCGGGTAATGGAGGTACTCTTCCGTGTCTTGATTTCCAGCTTGGTTCTCCACTCAATCTGATCGTTGTGATTTTCTTTGAGCAGACAATTAAACTTGGACCTGAAGTCCCGACTCTCAAATCGATTGGTCTGGAATTGGAATCAAATTGGTGTACTCGTAACTTGAGCTTTATGTAGCAAATGGTGAGATAAAACATTACCATTTGATCATAAATGAAAGATTATTATCATGACATTATTATAAAGCGGAAAATGGCATTTGTACACATTTGTTTAGACTTTTTGTACGCATTGGGTCAAGGTTTCGGGTGAAGAAATTTATGTAAAATACTTTTAAATTACTCACAAAGAAAACAACATTGATTTGTGCCTCATTATACTTTGCACCGCAACCTATTTTGTGTGTATGAAAATCAATGTATGTAACAAGATTAGTTGTGGGACTTGTGGTAGATATAAGTCGTATATGTCAAGACATTTTTTGCCTATTGGAATCTTATACATTAATGTGCACACCAAACATTTCTGAATATAAAATTAATCATTGTCAATAGACAAACCATTTATTAATATAAAGTTAACAAATGTTAACTAGAAGTTACACTATAGATTGTTCTCCTACTTAATTAAGGAATAGTGGTTTGCATATTCATCATCAATGAATGGAGTTCATTCTAATAAAGGGTTCTCTTAAAGAAGATAAGTCTTGATAAACATCATCATTCTTTTCATGAAGTCACCAATAAATTTTGTTTAAATTTATTGGTGTTTTGGCTAAAGGGAGTTTTGGCTAGGATATCTACTTGTTTGTTTAAATTTTAAATTTATTCAAATAAATTACATGGATGTGAATTTTGCTATGCCCATTCAAAAAATTACAAGGACACGTGCAATTTAAATGAAAAATGATTATTGTTGTATCGACTTAAAATGTGTATTTTTTGCATAACTTGTTGAAACGTGCATGTTTTTTTAAACTTTTATAGTTATTGATAGCTTAGATTGTTAGAAAGTCAGTAATCGAAAAAGATTATTCTAAAAGTTTAGTAAAAGTTAACTGTTTTACATGGTTTTGTTTGCTATATCAATTGTATTTTAATGATATTAGTGAGAAAACGTATACTGTTTTTTTTTTTTTGAAAATGTATTGTTTTTGTTATCAATAGGTGCTAAAATGCAGAATATCCTCATAATTACTATCAAAATATACATTTTATCTTAGTAAAAAAATACATCGGGTTTTAAGCATTATTATTCCTCATTTTGAAACATGATAACTTCATCATGCATGGAATGCAAAACATTATACTATCATAACGCAAGTTCATTGTTAGCGAGTTCGCGACTTCATGGAAAAGTTTTTTTTTTTAAAGTATACTTCGTATAAAAATACTGAAACAGTGAAACCAATAAATTTATGTCAAAATGAAAAGTAGATAGACTTTAAGTTATGATAAAATACTTTTAGATATTAATAAAAAAAACTAGGTTTAAAATAAAAGAATCATAAATGAATAATCGTGTGCAATTAGTTGTTCTTAGTTGCTCAATTGGCCTTCTCGGTTATTCTACTCATTTAGTTAAAAACATGGAAAAATAGGAAAATGCTTAAAGTTACCTACTTTCCACAAAATGCCATCCAAAGTGACTTTCTAGAAAGTATCTTAAAATTTTAAAATAATATCCCAAAATGTCGCTTACCACACACTAGTGAGTAGTGACCCTTTCATATCCTTGGCACACTTACAGTAAATTGAGGGATTGAAAAGTATCTGCTATATTGCAATTCATGTACGATTGTTCAAAACATACACTATTCTAAGTGTGGACTTGTAATACATTGAAGACTATTTACCAAGCCTTAAATATAAAAGGAAAAAGGGTCAAATACACCCTCCTACTATATCAAAAACATCATCTCAACCCCTCTACTAAAAAAAGCATCACATACATACATTTACTATTAGAAAAAAGATCAAATGAATCAAAATGACTGGATGCAACTTTCTATTGCAAGTCAGATTTGACATTCCTTCCCTTTTTATTTACTTTTTTCATTTTCTTTGCTTTCAATCTGATTCGCACTTCATACGGTACATACGAATCAAATGAGTCCTGCCATCTTTCTCTCTTTCCTCCTTTTGTCTTTCTTTTCGTTTTCTTTTCTTTCTTTTTTATTTTTTGTCTTCCACTAGGATTTTAAGATTTCTCTTCCTTTTTTTTCTTCTTTTACGTCTCATATTTAAATATACGAACTCTTAGAAGGAGATAGATCTAAAATTCTTTTTCTATTTTTATGACTTTTCATTAATATATAGTTTCTGTAATTTTTTATTTGTTACATTTTCCTTTGTGAAACTTTTTATTTAAAAATACTCCTTTCGTCCTGTAAAATTTCTCTCGGTTTGACTTGGAACGAAGTATAAAAAAACGTGAATAAAGTAAAATTGTATGATTATGATTGAGTAAGAAAAATGTAAACGAATGGTAGCCACACCTAACTTTCCAAAAAAGCACATGAGATTTTTTTGGAACATTCGAAAAAGGTAAGCGGGAAGGATTTTACGGTACGAATGAGGTACTTAATTATTATTACTTTTTCTACTTTTCATATTCTATTTCATATTTGTCCACTCTCTCCTACTTTTCCTACACTATTTACTATTCTTGATATTTTTTCCTCAAATATTGTGTCAACTCATGTGATATTTGTTATAATAAAAATATCATAAAATTTGATGATACTTTTCATTAGTATATACAACAAATGTCTCGATCAGTTAGGGTACATACAAAATGTGCATAATAGTACATATATACTTTTGATTTATACTTGTTGGGTTTATAAGTTAGGATTTCTGTTATACGAAAGTGAATAATAGTACATCATAAAATGTGCACAAATTTTGAAAAAATTAGCAATCTTTTTTAAGTCTTATGAGTGCACTTTTATTCATCTAATATCCACTTTGTACTATAAATGTTTGCACATTATTTGAGTCTGTATCTTGTGATTAAATTTTATCTAATCCATCTATTTACAAGTGATTAAAGGCTAAGATTTGTTCTCACTTTTCATAGGAACACTACTTTTTACTTGAACCCTTCCCTATATATATATATATATATATATATATATATATATATATAGAGAGAGAGAGAGAGAGAGAGAGAGAGAGATTTAGGATCACATACAAACTAATCATAATTTACAAAGTACAAATTAATCTTGGTCATCCATATAAATGAGATAATGGTGTAGATGGGATTACTCCCCCACTAAATTTATGTTGGCATTTAATGCTTGGTTGATCAAAAACTCTTCCATTATTACGGATGAGTTTTAATGGTCAAGCCAAATCTTACCCTTTATTTTATCATATTGGATGGATGAGATGAGTTTGTACTTTGTATGGGAAGCACACTTTGTATCCGATCTTAACCCTATATATATATATATATATATATATATATATATATATATATAGAGAGAGAGAGAGAGAGAGAGAGAGAGAGAGAGAGAGAGAGAGAGATGGCGGATCAGGTGAGAAGTGCTTTTAGACTGTAACAAATAAAAAATTACAGAAAGTATATACTAATGAAAAGTCATAAAATAGAAAAAGAATTTTAGATCTATCTCCTTCTAAGAGTTCCAAGATTTAAATATGAGACGTAAAAGAAGAAAAGGAAGGAAGAGAAATCTGTAAATCCTACTGGAAGACAAAAAAAATTAAAAAGAAAGAAAAGAAAACGAAAATAAAGTCAAAAGGAAGAAAGAGATAAAGATGGCAGGACTCATTTGATTCGTATGTAATGTATAATACGAAGTATAATGTATGAAGTACGCATAAGATTGAAAGAAAAGGGAAAACTATCAAATAAGCCCCCGTGCTATGCCGAAAAAGTCGATTAGGCCCTCATACTTTACAAACACTCAATTAAGTCCTCGAACTATTAAAAAACGTTCAATTAAGCCCTTTCGATCGGTAAGTAACCGGTTTCCCGGTTAAACGGCGGCGATGGCGACGATGTGCTCGAACCCCAACAACGGCGGCTGACGGAAAATGAGTTACATTTAACCGGGAAACCGGTTACTTACCGACCGAAAGGGCTTAATTGAACGTTTTTTAATAGTTCGAGGACTTAATTGAGTGTTTGTAAAGTACGAGAGCCTAATCGACTTTTTCGGTATAGTACGGGGGCTTATTTGATAGTTTTCCCAAAAGTAAATAAAAATGAAAGGAACGTCAAATCTGACTTGCAATAGAAAGTTCCATCCGGTCATTTTGATTCATTTGATCTTTTTCTAATAGTAAATGTATGTATGTGATGCTTTTTATAGTAGAGGGGTTGGGATGATGTTTTTGGTATAGTAGAAGGGTGTATTTGACCCTTTTTCCAATATAAAATATAGGTTGTAGAAATGGAGTACAATAGCTTATGTAATTATATTTCAAGGTTTGATGGTCAAATAATAAGCTTTTTGCACTTGAACAAAACTAAACTATAGATGACAACAATATTCAGTGATCCAATATTAGGCAAATCCAAACGAAACCTTCAACACCTAATAGCTTCATATTAATAAATGCATATTGTCTAGATGAAATGTAAAGACATTCTGACATTAACAAAATATAGCATCCACCTAGGGGCAACTTTTGTTGCAGCTCACCCCCCCCCCCCCTCCGGTCCCTACCTCACCAGTCATTAGGTGTTCAATCCTGCACACCTAATAAAACATAGATGCATTTTGAAGAAAATTGAAAATCTCATCCTTAGCAACACGGCCATATTGGGATGCACTGTACTTTCTGAATGCTGCAGTTAGCTTCCCAGTTCCTGCCTTGTGATGAAAAGAAATCATCAGCTTTGAGCACTCCCTGTTCACCCAAAATCACAAACGCTATAAGTTATTTTGATTCATTATAAAAATTTAAAAATTGTTAGAACATACGGAGTACAAAGTATATCTAGTCAGCCACTTACAACAGTTGGTCATGAGTATATCCAGTATACTTCTCACAAGTTCTGTCCCACTGTTTGCAGCCAATCAGACTGCTTTGAGCTGTAAAGATCGCCCCGGCCGCTAACAGAGAGGGCGAGAACCGCAGCATCTCGTACTCAACAAGGCATAGTTCAATCATGAAGAAAGACATGAGTTCCAACTGTTTCATTATCAGAAAAGCCAGCCATAAAACCCCAATCAGCATTTCATTGAAAGAAGTTGCAATGATTCATGGAACTGCTTTTATTTATTTTCCTTTTCTCCAAACACATACTTTATATTTCAAAAAAGAGAAAACTTCAAAGCTATCAGAAAGTAGGTATTTAATTTAAACTATGTTACTTCATGGATAAAAAAATTGATATGTATGAAATTAACAACAATTTGTATTTATGAAAAACCAATATATGAAAATTCTAGAAGAAAAGAATTGCATTTTATAAGTTCTATTCGGAAAACATAATATGACATTATCAACATCTCAGATATACAGTTCGATATTCCCCTATAGTCCTCAAAATGGTTCATTGTTTTTCGATATTTCTTGACATTTTCAGAGTTCACTTCTACACTAGAGACATTTCAATACCTTTGATATCAATATCAACCACAAAATGTGGAAATTTAGTTATACGATGCATGGACTTCATTTTTAGATTTATCAGAAGTGCTAAATCGACACTTATGATAACTAAAAAATCCAACTAACCTTCCGATCACATTGTGCAGCTTTAATAAACCGCCTCATAAACACATACGGCGTGGGCACTGACATGTTGAACTGTAAGACATTTAACATTAACTTCTCCTGTTGCCACAAAAATACAAGTTAGCACTAATGAATTATCATGATAGAATAGAAAACTGTGGGATACGGGAGGATCAATTTCTGTTTAAGTTTTTTGGTTATAAATATGTTACCATGTCTAATACTTCCTTCCTAGTGTAAGCCTTGTCCGAAATTAATATGAGATCTTCCACAACAGGAACAGACACTTCTTCATATTTGCAAGCGAGAAGCATTGCCGTTAGCCCAACAAGCTGGAGCTTTTTCCTAACTACCGGTTGGAGATTCAAGAATCTATCTATGAGACTCACTGTCAGATAAAGAGTCTCCTCCATCAGTTCAAACTTGTAATGCACCTGTACTTAAGAGTGAGGGAATACAGTAAGTTGCTCACATATAACCACCATCTTTAGATTAACATTTTAATGCAATTGGGAGTAAAACATATGTCTATGTGTAGAAAATATAGGACTATCCTTGTTTCTGCTTCAAAGAGACTCGTTCAGTCCTAAAAAGGAGTAAAAGTAGTCAACAGTTCTTTAAGGTGAATCAATCTTAGTTTCAGAAAAAACTATGATAGTTCAATTCGATGGAATGTGTTATGCTTTAGTCCTATTTATGGAATTGTTTCTTGTAGGTTTTATTTGAAAGATTAAGAAGATAGATGAGTCTGTTCCACATATTATGTACCTCAATGAGCCAGTCAATGAGAATGCCTCTCATTCTTTCATTGATGTCAGGCTGCCGATCCATGTAGTCCGGGGGCACGCAGCTAGAGGTCTGTGATGTTTCCAAATGAAGAAAAGTTATTAGTAAAAAAGTACATTGATTGCGTGAATATGTAACACCATTACATTCGGTATGACGCAATCATCACGAAGTGAATTCCTAAATTTTCTTAAAGATTCGATGGATTTGTTTCATAAACAATGGCTGGCACATACCTCAGTCTTCTTGTAGTATGCATATATGTCATCAATATACTCAACCACAGCAAGTGCATCCTTCTTGTCTGGACTGTCTATATCAACAATTACATAGTCCTCCACATCTTCCATCTCAATTTCTTTATCCTGCATCAAGAGAAAACAATACAGCATAAACAAAACACCCCTATAAGAATTTAAACATTATAAACCTCCAAAACAATTGTAACTAAACACTCGTATCGGTTAAGCCAAATACCATCTGATCTATTTCCTCCAGCATAGCCTCTGTGTGTTGCACAAACATGGGAACATTGAAGTCATCATCAACACCATATTTATTCCTATGTGCTGCTGATTGGAGTGGTGGCTTAGTACCCTATTTATGATTAAAATCAATCAATTTTATGAGACTAAACAGCACATTCGAACAAGGAGTAACTTAATCTAAAACTTCATTCCAAGCAAAATATTGACTGTATGATTACATAAGTGAATGGTTGATGCCGCTGCTGTTGTTTTTTAGCGGATTGTGCAGTCAATTTCCTATGGGCACATCAAAAAGATTATTATTCCAGTGACTACATAAGGAAAATGAGAATATCCAAAGGAAGTTTCTTTCAACCAACAACGAACCTCGTGATGGGACGATGAGCAAGAACTTGAGGTGTGTTCTTATTAGCTACATTTGCATTGTTTCTATCAAGATTCGAACACACAAAGATAAACAATTTTAAAAAATCATTTCTTACATATGAAAAGAGAGAGGAGAAAGAAATGAATGCTGTTGGTTTAAATAATCTCACTCCTTGAAGCCATTTCTCTTGGACACAGCACAAGAATACTGTGTAGGGGCGACTAAATCCACGTTGATGGTGCTTAATGCTCTCCTATTTTGTCCAATCACCCCTCCTAAAATTCCCAATGTCACGAATTAAAATTTATTAGAATGCCCAGATTAAAATCACATGAAAAGACACTCAAAACCAGAGGAAATCTACAGTTTTTGAAGAGAAAAGAAGAGAATCCATGAAATCTCAACTTACCCTGACGATTTGAGGGCCTGACAGCACCTGCCGGGTCATTCTCTTGATCCATTTCGACTTTAACCACTGAGTGAACAAGAGAACCATTAGATTATGAAAAACCCAGTAATTTTTACAAGGTAAGAAGGCGAGACAATCCAGAGGATAGATCAAAGGGTAGTCTTTCCTTGATAAGTCAAGAATCGAGAAGAACAAAAAGAAATTACATTAAGAAGACCTAGAGATCAGATCAATAGAGGACTACGTAAATTCAGTAGAATCAATCGAAGGGTTGATTGGCCCTCTGGCGAAGAAGAAGTGTTCTTCGTCAATCTCGTTTTCTCCCTCTATGGAAATTGTTCTTGAGAGGGTCGGGATTGAGGGTACTATTAGGGCCACGGTGTTTGAAGGGACATTTGGGTCGATAGGACCAGATTTCAAACACGTTATTTTGAATATAACGGCTAGTAAAACCTAGCTCCGGAAGGAATAAATTCTTCATATTGATCTATTTCCTTTTGGCTAACTAACGGTTCAATTCTCTCTAGCTTTTTATCCCATTTATTTAATATATGCGTCTATATTTTTCGTAATCTTCTTATGACAAAAAAACTTCGATTATCCCTTTAAAAAAGTGTGCAAGCACTGCTGGATTTTTTACACTTTCAAATAAATTCCAAGTGTAATAAGTGTTTTGTACATTACCTTTTGATTTTTGCATCAAATATCATTCAAAATAACTAAAATGCCATCATTTTGAAATAAAGATACTATTCTTCATGTTAAATAATCTCTTTTTTCTTTTTATATTATGTACATTACCACATGTAACAATTTTCATAATAAAATCCCCTTTATTCCGTTTCCAATTTCTTCTTTTTAATTTCAAGAAGTTTATATATATTTGAACATGTGTGTGTAACATTTCAAGGTTATTATAAAATAATGAAACATTATATTAAGATCGTGAATTACTCCTATTAATTTGAATTTCAAAATGAATACCAATGTTTTAACATAATATCAAAGCATGTTTGTTGTGGTTTGACTTTTTGTTTAACACTCATAGTTATTGGTAGTTTGTTATGAATTGATTTGACTTATTTATCTACTCCGACCGATGTTATCTAGTTTGGATTGGAGTGGAAAGAGCGTGTTAAAGTATGTAGCTCACACCGAATTGTTTTTTTATCAATTCTTTCTAACTTATATAGTATCTGCTCAATGTTAAATTAATGCTTTGAAGTGATGAGATTCGATCCTTTGATCTCCTCTTTGGGAGTGTCACAGTGATGCCATTAGACCACAAAATACTTGGCCCGAATTGTTATAAAATAATAAAACAATGAAGTATATAAAATTAATGCTTCTAACAGATTGAATTGGTCTTTTAGAATGTAATTGAACCCGGATCTTATAGCTTTTTAAATCCCATTACATTACATTGTACGTAGCATATTTTTCTATGATCCTGAATATATGAAAATATGAAATACATGACCGCAGTCACAATAAATATGATTATGAAATATATATTAAAATCATAATATAAAATAAACAATCTTATAATAACAAAAATAAAGTAGTGCACTCTGCACTACCTTGGCTAATTTGAACCTTTTATGTTCTCATTAAGATCGAACATTTCTAATCTTATTTGTTTTGATTTGTTCTATTATGTACAAGTCTGGTCTCGCTTGAGATGGATTGATCGGTTATTATATATATTTACTTTATTTATGTTTAATCTGACCTAATTTGTTTAAATATTAATTGGTCTATTTTGAATCTAGTCAAGTATGATATGATAGTGTGCTTTAATAAACCAATCTAAGTGAAAGTGTCTCATGTCTACACATCTATAATTTCATTTGTTACATCAAGTCCACCCCTAACTACTATTACTCAAAATTTAATTTAATAATGTAATAATGATTGAAAAAAATAATGAAAACAGCCAATAGTATAATAATGATAAATTTTAACATTGAATGTCATAAATGTTATGATACATACACAAGATAAAAAAAATGTTTACTTTTAAACTAAACAATATAAAAGCAGTACATATGTGTTTAGGCATGAAAGAACTACCAAACCAAAAAAGTACCACTAAACTAGGGCGGTTAACGAAGCGAGCTTTTATCGAACTATTCGAGTTCGAGCTCGGTTTCGAACCTAACGAGCCGAGCTTAACGAGCTCGAACCCGAGCTGAGTTTTAAGTTCGAAATATTAATCGAGCCGAGCTTGAACATAGTAGTATTCGGCTCGGTTCGAACTCGAGCCTAATGAACACCCTGAAATTATAAATATAATTTATATATAATCAAAATTTAAATATAATTAATATGATTTTATGAATTTAAATATGTTTATTAACGAACCGAATACTTGTCGAATCATTCGAGCATGAGCCTATTAACGAGAATCACCTAAAATTTTAAATTCTACTATATTTATCGAGATTATCGAGCGCTCGGTTCGAACATCGAACGCCTATTGAGCCGAACACGAGCCTCATTTGAAAAGCTCGCCGAGCTTCGAGCTCGAACCCGAACACCATTAATTCCTTATTGAGCCGAACTCGAGCTTTAGGTGTTCGGGTTCGGCTCGGCTCGTGAACAACCCTACACTAAACCAAGCAGAACAATGTATATAAAACGCTGACAGTTTGTATAACTAATGAAATATGATGGTGTAAAAAATAAATAAATATGATAATTAGTCTAACTAATTATAAACGTTTTTTGAAAGTATTATTGAAATGAAATTTATTTACGAAATATAAATAATATTTACTATAGTATATTCTATTGACCACTTGAGTGTAAATTGAATATAAATTACTACAATTAAAGTTAATACTATAGTTACTAACTTAGGAAATCCCTTTCGTAAAAAAAGCTTTTATTTTAATCATAAATACTATCTTCCGTTTCCTTTTTGTTGCAATAATGAAAATTCATTATTTACATACTCTACATTGACTCTATTTTATCTATTAGTGTTTGAAAATTATTATTTTTCAAAAATATTGTTCAATTCGTATCATTATAATTTTCAAAAATATTGTTCAATTCGTATCATTATAATTTTTATAATCTGAATTTACATTTTTTTACTAATAGAGAGTTAAATATAATGAAAATCGAAATTTAGCGTTGACAAACTTGAAAATGAAAATGTTACAAGTAAACGTGAAAAATATATGTAATTATTTCTCCTATTTACATGCATCAGTTTATGTTTTAATTGAAGAACACTTTAAATCTTTTTATTAGTCAATATATTCATCAAGTGATTTGAAATCTATTTGTCAGTTAGTCAAAATTGTGTTTAGAATAGCAATGAATGGTAATAGCATTTGAAAAAGTGTTTGGTTAAAAATATCACAACCGTTCTTTTTAATTGTATTTATTCTCTTCTTAATTGTTTTTTATTCTCTTTGAAAAGCTTTTTTATTATTTATCTATTTTCGAGTTTTTTCCTATAATAATGTTAAATAAAAAAATATCTCCCAAATAAAAATTGGGTTAAAACTATTTCCCTAAATGATGTTGAGGTAAACTCTAGTTAACTCAATGCAGCTTATATAAAAAAAGGATGACACCCCATCCCTGAGGGCCCCCCAACACCGACCGGACGGCACGATTGGAGGATGTAAATTGGACTATAATCACAATCTGACAGATAGAGAGTGGGGCTCTGTCCCCGGTACTTGCAGAAGCCCTATGCATTTTTCAGCATAGTAACCCCTCATCGCAGTTGCCGGGATTCGAACCCGAGACCTAACCCTTGTGGCACTCCCTCGCTACCAGTTGAGCTACACCCACCGGTATTATATACGAATTATAAGCTGTGCTTATGTAACGTGCGCTACGTAGCAAGCCATGGACAATGTTAATTAATACTCCCTAAAATAATCACAGGTCCCACTAATAAAACATCTCTATTTCTAAACTACTATAACTTTTTTATATGTAATCCAATTGTGACAAAAAATATATCAAAATTTATAATTTTTTATTATCTTTCATGTGACACCAATATTACATATATAAAAATAAAAATAATTTAACACTTTAAAAAACTTCTATTTTTGAAGTGCTATAATTTTTTATTTGTACTCCGATTAATAAAAAATATATCAAAATTAATAATCTTTTATTATATTTCATATGACATCAATATTCAAAATATAAAAAATAAAAAATACATACGGAGTACTACTATTCTGGAATGTTAGCTCGGAATATAAGTACACAAATTCTATGTCATCACTCGAATAAATAGTGTGCCCCATAAAAAAAGATTCTAAAATGAACAAACTAATACTCCCTCCATGTTTGAAAGATCACAACATTAAATCTTGACACAATATTTAAGGGAAAATATATAGTAGGTGTAATGAATATTGTAAAAAAAACACAGGAGGGAAGGTGAAATATAACAAAAAGTTGTAAAACTTGATATATTTTATGTAACAATCGGAGTACAAATAAAAAAATAACACTTTAAGAAACATAAGTTTTTTGAAGTGCTCAATTACTTTTTTCTATTTTATATACTCTGTACATAATATTGGAGTCATCTAAGAGATAATAAAAAGTTATTAATTTTGGTATTTTTTTGTAATAATCAAAGTACAAAATAAAAAAAAATTATAGCACTTCAAGAGCATGTTTGGCAATACCGAAATAAGTTGATTCTGTTAAAATTTATAAAGTTCTGGCTGAAGTGTTTGGGTTGACAGTTTCTACTGATTTATGGGGGGGGGGGGGAATTTAAATATACGTTATTAATAAAATAAAGAAAAAATTATATGAAAATAGTTAAAATGATCATCTACAATAATTTCAAGCACTATAGCTAGAAAAGTAACTACAACCTTACTTTTTCTTATTATTATATAATTCAGCGCACGAAATCATAAGTTACTTATTTGGTGAAAAAATTGGTTCATAAGCTAAGCTTGAATGTTTGATGAATCGTTTAAGGGTGATTTTTTTTTATATAAGTAATAATGGTTTTATTTGAAAGGTAATAAAAAGTTATAAAGTTTGATATAGTTTTTGTAATAATCGGAATACAAATAGAAAAATTATATGATTTTTAAAATATATGAGATTTTTTATTGGTGGGGCCACCACTATTACATTTCATTTTCTAATGCTGCCCTATGCCCCTATGTAATTACGAACTTCTCGTATAAGCCGACAATTGAGTTGGCGGTTATTATCTTTAACTAAAGTTAATTTCAATTGGCATTTTGGGAAATATTATTAACCCAACATTATTTTGGGAAATATTTTTTTATTTAGCAGTATTGTAGGAAAAAACTCTCTGTTTTCCATACATTTCCATACCCGAAACATATTTATCCTATTTTTTCTATTTCTATTTCTATTTCCTATCATTTCGACTTTTCTTTCTTCATTTCCCATTTTTCTTTCTCACATCTCTGTGAAGGTCACCTAATTAATGTTGTATTCTAAAACAATGATTTAATCGTTTAAAAATGTGTTTTTAGTCCTACAAATATGACACATTTTATTATAAATTCTTTCAAAATAATTTTCAAATTTATCTTTATAATAATTTACACTATTTCTTTTGTGTAGCATTACATTGCCATGATTAAAAAATAGACATTTTATCACTTTTAGTCGCACTAACATTTTTTATACCTGCGACTTTGATTTTTTCCATTTTAGCCTTTTGACAGTGGTGTGAAAAACACATTTGATACATGTCTTTTAAACTTTCCATACTAGTCCTTCAACTGTTTGTTTTTTATAAAAGTGACTTTTGTTTCTCAAATTATTATCACAATGATATTTTTGATCATTCAACTATTGTGTCAAAATCATAGTGGAATCACTAAAAGTATTGCTTTGACATAGTCAAGGGACTTAGGGTATGTTTCGTTGGTCTGATTTGAATGTTGGCAATCTCAATTTTTTTAAGATTTAGTCTGATCTAATTGGAACTTTTTCTAATTTGATCTGATCAAAATTAAATAAGAATAAGACGAGAATGCACCTGAATGTGAGGAATTTTCAATTCGATGATAGGAATTTTCAATTACAATTGTCGCCTGTATAACAACCAAACGAAAATTGTCCTAAACAGAACTAATGGGTTCCTAAAAAAGCACAAATAGGACTACTACTTTTTAAATTCTCTAAAGAGGACTAAACATTGATTTTGTACCCTAAATACCCCTAAAAGTATTAATTCATGATAAAATGCTTTTATTCATAATAAAATCATAAAAAAATGTAAAAAATATCTAAAAATTAAAAAAAATATTATAAAAAATAATAAAGTATTTATAAAATAAAAAATTTAGAAAAAAATTTTAATTTTTTTTAAAAATAATAAAAAAAATAGTAAAAATCCATAAAAAAAAGTTAGGGATATCTTTCCCACCGCCTCCAACTGCCTCCCAGCACCACCACCTCCGATTGGTGAAATTTCTTCCACTTTTAATAAAAAAAAATGCCATCTTTTTCTAAAATGCCAAAAAGATGGCATAATTACTCTTCAATATGCCAATATTTTCATTGAATATGCCATCATTATTAGGGGTGGGCAAAATGGTTTGGTTTAACCGAACCGAACCGAACCAAAAATCGGTGGTTTGGTTTGGTTTGAGTTTACTTAAGTAAACCATTTGGTAAGAATTTGCTCAAACCGAATGGTTTGATTTGGTTTGATTTCAAACTGAAAAACCGTAAACCGAACCGAATGGTTTTGTTTTGGTTTGGTTTCAAACCGAAAAAACCGTAAACCAAACTGAACACCGAACAAGTTATATACCCTCTCCTTCCCGCAAAGAAGTTCCCGGTTTGACCTACACTCATATTGAGGAAATAAAATTACCAGGGGGTAAATTATATTGTTTTGACACTGTTTTTGCAATGTTTGACACTGTTTTGATGTAGGACAGCTTTCCAATTCTGGAAAATGAACTTCTTTTTGGGACTGCTAAAAAAGGAAAACGGAAACTTCTTTGCGGGACGGAGAGAGTACACACACACACTTTATATTTATCTTCACTCTTCATTTTTAAGATATATACAAATAAATAATTTAGACATGAAAAATACATATTTAACATATATCATTTTAAGTTTTACACATTTCATACATTCATTATGACAATGTTAGTTATAATACGACATATTTGTATTTTTATGTTTGGTGATAACATTAGTAGATTGCATTTATATTTTTTTGCATGATTCATTTGAATAAAATTATACAACATTTGTAACACCGACTCCTTTAGCTTTTTTGAATATTTTATGTGATACTCCATATTATAAATTTTAATCAACTATAATCTAATTTTTGTGAGAAGCGAATCTTTTTCTAGTGATCGAAAAGATGTTAGATGTTTTGATTTATAATATTTTATTTTATATTTTTCTATCTTTTATTTCCTTTTACATTTTATTTAAATAAACGATCAAAGAAGATGAAATTTACTACTACATTCATTTTCTAATTCTAAAATATAAGAACTTGATCAAATAATATGATAATAAACATAAGAAAACGAATCAAAATCGAACTAAATTAAACCTAATAGTTTTTACTTTGGTAAATCGAACTTCAAACCGAACCGAAACCGAACCGAAACCAAACCGAAACATAAATGGTTTTAGTTTGGTACAAATTCTCTCAACCCGAATAAATCGAAACCGAACTGAAACTGAAGAAAACCGAATGGTAAACCGATTTGCCCACCCCTAATCATTATGGCATTATTTAACATGTTGACATATTTTTCTCCGGTGATGAGAGCTGGTGGTGGCAAGGGTGGCATTTTTCTTTTTGATTTTATGATTTTTTTAATTTTTTAATTTAATTTTTTAGAAATATTTTATTAATTTTGTATTATTTTTTTACGATTTTTATTATTTGTTTTCGATTTTTATTATTTTTTATGAATTTATTATTAATTAAAACATTTCACAAGCTACAAGGGTATATTTGTCTAAACACACATAAATAGTCATATTAAGGGAATTTATAAAATGTAACTCCATTTGTACAATTTTATCACTTTTTAGTCCTATTTAGGAAATTTCCTCATAATCAAATTAGATTTTTTTTTGGACGAAATCAAATTAGAAATTGAATACCCAAAATATCAAATTGAAGATGATAGGGATTAAAAATGGCAAAAACAATTCTTTTAAGTCCAAAATAATTCGTTTTTTTAAACAGGATAAGAATGTGAGTAGGATCCGATCAAGCAGTTAGTTGGATAGATGGTGACTTCTTTGTCTTCTTTCGGTTTACTTCATTTCAGGCAATGTCCGAATGGCAGGGAATGATTCCTGTCTTTTTTCTTTTTGAAGAATACATTTCCACCATTCTCGCATAGAGCATCTGCCGATTATTTTGCTGCTCGGAATCTACTTTTCCGGTGAATGAAATCACGCCGGCAGCGCAAGACTGAAACTCGATGGCGATAAACCAGCGGAAAATTCTCACGGTGGTGGCTCCCTTCGAATGCTCCTGGAACGATGATCTTCGGTTCAGAGAGGGCGGAAGAGGCTGCGTGGCTTTTGATGCTTTTGCCCAAAATGACGTCACTGTTGTTTTCCGGGAGCGTGTAGGTAGCCAACACTATCATTACAAGAGGGACGATAGTCCCCATTACACAGTGATTATAGGCAGTCACAGGAATAGAAGGTTGAAAATCGAGGTGGATGGGGAAACGGCGGTCGATGCGGCTGCAGTTGACCTTTGCTGTTCTGCTTCAACATTTCAGAGCTACTGGATCTGCGTCTATGATGGTTTGATTAGTGTTGGCAAAGGAAGGAATCCGTTTCATGACCTTTGCTTCAAGTGGCATCACTCAAACCCTAATTGCAGGGTTCAGTATGTTGGTCTCAGTAGTTGGGACAAACATGTTGGCTACAGGAATGTTCAAATACTACCACATGTCACACTGAACCATAGTGTAAGTTTGTGGGAACATGTAGATCATCATCATCGAAATGATGGATGTGAGAATGGTAATAGTAAGGGTGAACTGGTGGGGGATACAGGTGGAGAGTTTGAAGCAAGTTGGGGTGGTCTTGAAAATTATCTTGAGAGCTGGGAACTATCTGATGTCATCTTCATGGTTGGAAAAGATGAGGGAAGGGCTGTCCCAGCTCATAAGGTCATACTGGCAGCGTCCGGGGATTTTAGCTTCACTTCTTCTGGTAAAGACGTTATTAACCTGCATAATCTTAGCTATCCAGTTCTCCATGCCTTTCTCCAGTATATCTACACTGGACATACTCAGGTTGGTCTGCGTTCTACTGTACTATATTTATGCACATTAGTTAATTTTGTTCTCTAATTGATTCCTTCTAGCTAGCTAGCATTTTCTGGTCTCTTCAGTTTATTCTCGGTTTACATTTTTGAACTGGCTAGCCTGTCCTTAAGCGCTTTAAAAATGGTATTATACTTGACTGGTAATTTCTGTAATCTGTACGTTAATTCATTCTCATATATTATATAATTTGTAGATATCAGAATGTGAAGTCAATTCCTTGGAAGCTTTGAGCTTGCAGTTTAAAGTTACACCATTGCTAAAGCAATGTGAAGAAATTGTTGCACATTTTAGCATTGACAACAGACTTTTAGATTCGGGTAAGAATGCAGAGATTTCCTATGTGAGCCGGGTTCCTTGCATCCCTGCCTTCCCTTATGGGCTACCGATCAATACATGGAAGCTAGAACAATTTTTTCTAACTGGCAAGTATAGTGATTTAGAGATATATGTTGGAGACTTCATTGTGCAATCCCACAAAGTTATACTTGGTTTATGGAGTGCTCCTTTCTCAAAGGTATTTTAGTTTTCCTTGTCAGTGTTTTTTAATATTCGCTCCTATGATAGATACACATCAATGCAACATAGAGTAGTGTTTGGAGTAGACCCTGTGCGAGAATAAAATTTGGGCCTTTTTTCAAGTTTCAACACAAGCAAATTGTCTTAAAATACAACTTACGAATAAATGTAATGATAAAAATAGTCATTAATAACTTACAATTTATTTAAAAAGGGACATTCTTCAAACACATTTAGATTTAAGCAGGGGGGTTTTGGGCTGGGGCGTAATACTAATTTTTTTTTGGGCCCTTCAAAAATCCGGGCCCTGTGTGATCGCACTGGGCAGCCATGCCCTGGGCCGGCCCTGATTAAACGAAACAAGGTTCCCTAAGTTTCACGTCGAACCCCAGATGAAACTTAAGCAAAAATTTGAATCGGAGCAGAAATAATGTGTGAAAAATAAACAACTGCGACATGGATTTACCTGGAAAGTCATATACCTATGAAACACCACAGGCTCTCAAACAATCTACTGTGTAACAAGGAATCCCCTATACTGTGATAACCAAAGATAAACACTCTATAGATCTCGTATTAGGCCAGATAAATAAGCTCTAACCTCACATCTACATAAATATAAAGTCAGTATAATAAATCCCTAATACAAAATCTCAAATGTTTCAAGCTACTCAACGACAAAGATAACAAATCTTTTTTTAATGAGATATGAGCTCTAACGTAGAATAGATTTATTTTTATTTTTTTCTCTCAACTCACCAACCTCTCTCTGACTCTCTCTCTCTCTTCTTTTCTCGGTTTCTTTGTTTTTTTTCCCTTCCCTGTCATCAAATAGGCATATCTGTGTAATTTATAGTCTTTCCAGGCTTGTTTACAATGTACGTAGTAGTAAGCAAGCTAAAACTCAAACTTGAGCTACTACACATAAACCTGAGTATGCTAATGCTTTGAGTTTGATGACACTGGTTGTGTGGCTTAATTCATTACTCTCAATTTTCTTGGTAATGAACATGGAATTTAGGCTACTGCCGCAGATGGTTATGGTCAGAATATGAAATGGAACTGTCAATTCACTCAAATGAGACAATTAAATGCACTTACGGTACCAATTTGTTTCATTAGATTGTTTGGGCACTGAAATGCATCAATAACAATAGTTAAGGTACCAGTTATGCATTCTGACCAAAGGAATTGCTATCTACAAACTTTGAATGGTAACCTTTGTTGACTTTTATATCTTAACAAATTTCAATGTTTTTCTGATAGATACAGGATACTAATAATCTTCTCCTATTAGTCTATAATAATCATATATACAACATAAATGACATTACGTTCATGCTATCAATCATGAATTTGATGGACATTGAGGAGCTTAGCAGTTAGCACCAATCTTTCTTTATTTGTGAAAGATCAGCATGTTTCTGCATCACTGTCCAACATCTAGATAGATACAAAGCTGTAGAGTGAACTGCTTTATGGAGTTAGCGATGTGCTTTTCTTTTTTGTACTATCCTTTAAATGTTTATGAAGGATTAAAGGAAGAGAATTGGTAATTTCAGATGTTCTCTAATGGAATGAAGGAAAGTTTTTCTTCTACTCTCGCCTTAAGAGATGTTAATCCTGAAGCATTTCGAGCTATGCTTGAGTTCTTGTACACCGGAAAACTAAAGAAAGAAATCATGGAGGACATCAACACACTGTTACTCCAGCTGCTTCTACTGGCAGATAAGTTTGGGGTCTATCTACTTCATCAGGAGTGCTGCAAAGCAGTTCTTGAGCACCTTAAAGAGGTAAAGCTTAAGGGATTATCCAATGCCACAGCTCATGTTTTATTTCTTACAATATTGTTTTGTTTCATGGTACTACTAGTGGCAAAAGTGGAATTAGAACAAAAGAATGGAGAAGTGGTGCAGTTCGGACTTGTGACCATGTACAAAGCCCTTTATGCGGATCAATGAATTATAACATATTGATACCGTTTGTCTATATATTGCATGCAGGATTGGAGTTATTCATTCGATGGAGGTCATACAACAACTTTTCTCTATTGTGCGCTGAAGCAGAAACTTTTCGGCAACATATTAGTTAGTCAACTATCAGGCTAACTGTTGACATTGTTGCAGGACACGGTTTGCCCTGTTCTTCAAGTGATAGCATCAGTTCTGTCATGTAAACTAATTGAAGAAGCGTACGAGAGGGAATTCGCTGTGCATTTTGATTATTGTACTACAGCCAGCAATGAATTTGTCATGCTAGACGAAGCAACATTTAGTGTTATCCTCCAGGTGAATTTCTGATGAAAAATCAGACGCAGCAGTAATACACATATTTATTACACACAATTCACTTATATTTCACTCATAGATTTAACATAAACACCTTTCTCTCTTTTCTGATCCTCCATCTAACAAAGACGCTCACATAGGTTCATCTAGGAAGAGACAAAGTTGTATAGTTGAAAATAGTGTCGTCACATCTGTAACACATGCTGTGACAGCTCAACACATGTGACACTATTTAGATATATACAAGCTTCCTTAATCATGGCACATAAAAAAATTGCATTTTATAATGTCATTGAGAAGAAATACACTAAACTAATAACCAAAAAGGGCATATATTGCTAAGGCCCCATTTGGTAGCATTTATGGGCTTATCAGTAGAGTAAGCAAGATAAGTAGCTTTTGACTTGCTTATTTGGCTGAAATCTGCAATGGGCTCTAAGAAATTTAAATCTCTCACACTTTGAATTTGAACCGATGGTAGAGAAAATGTGTTCATGGGCATGATGCATGTAATTGCTTTGGAGAGAGCAAAATGGAGGGCGGGTATTCGTGTGGAGGAGTGATCTTGTATCATCTTTTCCCCTCTTTTTTTCTTCTTCTTTTTTTCTTTTTCTTTTATATTTTTATCCTTATATATAAATATTACTTTATCCTTTTTATTTTATCTTTTATATGTATATTCATCTCTTTTATATTATCTTTTTTTTATAATAGCTTATCTTTTTTATCTTTATTTTCTTTCTTTTCCTTTGGTGATATCATGTATCGATTCATGTTAGCCGACCCCAATATCGTTTGGGACTAAGGCTTGGATGTTGTTGTTGTTGTTGTATTGAAGTCAACATAATAGATACAATATTCTAAATGGATATAACTAAATAAAAAACTACGTATTCAGTCATTGTGGTTTGTGCGGCTAAAATGTTTCATTATTTGATATCTGGTTTACAGGTAGAAAATGATTCAATAATTCATTACATATCATTTTAAAATTTATCTTCTAATAGTTGGAAGGTATAACTTTTTCATATTCTTATTGTGAGATACTGAGATTTTATGTTTTCAGCATCCAGAGTTGACTGTCACATCTGAAGAAAATGTTCTGAATGCAATATTTTGCTGGTCCTTGCAAGCAGAGGAATACTTTGGATGGGAAAGGATAGATGAGATGATGATGAATTCAACTCCTGAAGTACTTTTTGGACAACGGCTTACATCTCTTGATTTGTTTTTTCCTTTTGTGCGTTTTTCATTGCTTCCACATGCTTTGCTTGAAAAGGTATGCAGTATGCACCCAAAGTGTGTACAGTGTGACTTTCCATGGATGTCATGCACTCATGCATTGAATCTATTTTAATGTTTTTAAATCCTGTTGATTTCCAAATGATCTTGCAGTTGCAGAGAAGTGAAATTAGCAAGCAAATTCCTATTTTTCATCATCTGGTTAGTTTAAAGTCATATAGGAAGTCTCCCAAAAGGAGTTCGTGGTATAAAATGCTGAAGTCTTTTTGGGGTTCAACTAATCACAGATTCTCAACTACAGGTGAAAGAAGCTATCACTTTTCTACAATTCGGGAGCACTTGTCTTGAGAAAAACTATAGGTGTGTGTCATTGCAAAATATATATTCCATTTCGAGGGTACTTGGGAAGGGTGTTTATGTTGGAGAGGCCTAATCAGCTTACATTTAAGGTTCAACGCTTGGTTTTGCATTGTACCACAACATCCAAGCCTTCGTCCAAAAGAGTTTTGGGTCGGCTAACGTGAATATGAAAGCGGAGTTAAAAAGGATAAAAGAGATCAATCCTTGTACTGTGTAACAAAAAAATCAATAGAATATGTTTCTCGGGTGATATGCTCAGTATGAACTATTGCAACACATATACTCCCTTCGTCCCTCATAACTTTGCCAACTTTCCTTTTTTGGAAGTCCCACTAACTTTGCCACTTTCCCTTTAAAGTAAAAAATTTGTGGTTCCAGTTAATTCTCTCTCCTCTGCACAAACCTCAACCACACAGTTTTTACTTTATTATTCCCCGTGCTGGTTAAACTTGGCAAAGTTATTAGGGACGGAGGGAGTAATTTTTTTTTACTCATGTTTTTTCCCTTGCAATGAGAGTAAAAGATCTTCACCTTGAGTCAAATCCTCTTTGATCTTTAAGACTATGTTATGTATCCCAGATTCCCAGAAAGTGCTGGGGAAAGGAAAGAAAATGTTAAGGGAAGCTAATTTCTTATGTTGTGTTTTACCTCTGAAAATGAAATATGCTTAATGTTTTACTTTTTCCTTTTTTTTTTGCATGTGTAGTTTTCTTATTATTTTTATAATGAAAATAAATTAAAAAAATTTATTTGAACAAATAATAACATTAAGCTAAAGTTGAATCAATGTTTTACTATCCTCCATTTTTCTTTTCTTTCCAAATTTCTTCCATCATTTTTTGGGGGGTCTTACTAGTTCAAGGGAAAGTGTGGTTATAATAATGAAATAGTTATGTGTCTGGCTCAGGTTTCAGCACAGAAGATCCAGTTTTAAAGAGCACCAGTACATCTGTGATGGGGATAGCAATGGGGTTTTTTATTTTGCAGGCACATCATATGGTGCACACCAGTGGATGAACCCAGTTCTGTGTAAGGTATAATTGTACACCCTCATTGCCCTCCTAGTCATATTATGTGACATTGTAGTTATATATTGCTATTTGCTAACATGTCAAGTTCGATGTTCAGAGAGTAAACATTACAGCAAGCAGTCCCTTTTCAAGATTCACGGATCCTAAGGTCTTGGTCTCAAGGAATTTTCAGGTATGAATGTATGATTACAAAATGTAAAGAGAGATTCCTTTCAGAACTAGTACTGTGCAAGTGTGCATACTGTTGAGTATAAATTGTACTCATTAAAACTTCCATCTTAAATTGAGTTGGAATTTTTTTATCCACTAGTCAATGCAATTCCTTTTTATTTTCTGATTTCGAGTATCAACTCTTTAGCATATTCAAATTCAGTTTTCACAGTTCAATACAACTTTGAGCGTACTTTCTAAATATAGAAGTTTTAATTGTTAACAGTAATTTAAATATTATTAAGAGAGAATCTATTATATCACTGTCAACCTTAAACCTCATAAATTGCAACTTGTTTGGGACGGAGTATATCCTTTGCTGGTATGGAATATATATCATTAAACTATGACAGGATATAATTTAAAAGAATTATAAAAAAGTGTATTTTCCAGGGTACGTCTTTTGCTGGACCTCAGGTCGAAAGTGGAAACATTAGCTCGTGGTGGATGGTTGATCTAGGTCATGATCACCAGGTAGGGATAAATGATGCTTATTCTTTCTGTAATTAATTACAATTGGAGTGCATTTCACTATTCAGAGAATAAAATTTTCTCATTTCCTGAAGAAGTTGTGGCAAATCACAATGATGTGGAATTGCGGAGAATGAATGTTTCAATGTGTTGATGCAGCTGATGTGCAACTATTACACAATACGCCAGGATGGATCAAGGACTTTCATGAGAAGCTGGAATTTTCAGGTAAGCATGCAAGGGAATATATACCTTAATGTGACTAAAACATTGAAAGATTCTTGTATGGGTATGAATCTTAAAGTTATGTGGTGTATGACTAATTAAGACATTCAATAGTTGGTCGTAAGAGTAAAGTGGTATTAATGTGCATCAGGAACAACATCAGATTAGGAAAGAAAACATTAGTCATATAGTGGGGGAAACATGACTTCCTTTTGACATATCCTTGGTAATTTTATAAATGAATAATGTTGTTGAGAAGGTTGGGTGTTGACTGGGGGGATGAAATGTGACAGGGATCTGGAGATGGTGTGAACTGGACAAACTTGATAGAGCACAAGGAAGACCAGACAATTTGCAAGCCCGGTCAGTTCGCATCCTGGCCAGTGATTGGTTCTGGCCCGTTGTTTCCTTTCAGATTTTTTCGAATCCTGATGACTGGTCCTAGCGCAGACGAGGTGGACATCTGGAACTGCTCCATCTGCTTCTTGGAACTCTATGGATATTTTCTCTAGCATGCTTTGTTTATGCAATATGCATTCCAATGAGGCAATGATCCAAACTTGCTATATTTGTGATTGATGCTGCCACTGGAAATACTATACTGAATTTGAACGAATAATAAACATTAACTTGTTGAATTTCCGCCAACGTTTCAGGAAAAAAAAAAATCAACCAATGTTTTACTTCCCTCTACATTCTCATTTCATATTTATTCAATCATTTCTTCACTTTGTCATTTTTCATCATTTTCAGAGCAGCCAAAGATTATTTTTTTGGCTTGAGAATATGACACAATAAAGTAAAGTGACTCACTGAACTGTTCACGCTTGTTTGTTATGAAGCAATAATCAATCCATGCAATTTTGACACAATTTTCATCATGGGTAATCCGGTAGCAATCTCTTTTGTGCTTTAGTATAGAGGGGTAAGGTTATGTACATCTGACCCCGCTTACCCCATCGTAGGTGAAGAGCCTTTGTGGCACTTAGGTGATGTGTATTTCTTCACTTTGTCAAGCATGTTCTGAGTACCAAACAAACCTTGAGGGAGGAGCAGTGGCAGCGGCAGCAATACAAAAGTCCCATTTCCTGATTTCCAGGCCTGAACTTGTCACTATTCAGCTTTAGTGAATTAGTGCCAAAATTTGGACAGTTTTCAATTTTCATGTTCCCAAATCCCAATTTGGCTCACCTAACTGGGTGTCTGGGTACCAAACTGACCAGTCTCGATTTCAACACAATCCTAGAACCAAGCAAGATATATGCCATTATAGTCTGTTTCACAATATCCCATGGCCCATGCTTGGACTCGGGACAAAGAGTAGTTGCATCGTAACAAATAAAATTTTATTAAGGTTTGATTTCACCATAAAATATCAACTTCACAAGAGTTGCTTATGATCTTGTATGTTAATGTGTTGTTTCATATTTAAACTATGTCAGACAAACTACTCATCAATTTTTTATTTTTTGGGAAAAATAAATAAAATTACTTTGCCGCTTATAAAATATTTGATTTGGCACCGAGTGTGATTGACAAGTTAATTTGATCAAACTTCGAGAAAGTAAAAGTAATTAACCAACAAAACGAGAAAAAGTGCATCAAAAGTAAGCAGCACTGTCGAAGATGGAAATGAATATAAAATAAATAAATGAAGGCTGCAACAACTAAACTTCACTTTCAGTTTCAAGTGATTAGCTGAGCAAACACTATACAGATGAAACAACAATGAATTACAATTCCAAAGCTCTGCGCTAAAAATGCCATACAATTGATTAGCGGACTTTCACTTTCAGCCAATATACTTGAAGCCGGAATCTTTAGATTCTTTTTTCTTGCTGTTCAATTGAAAGCTGGTACAGCAAGAGCAGTTAATCTTCCACTAAGATTCCAATGCAGGTTAGCATCCTTCTATACACGTGCATTAAATCCATTCCTAAATTGCCTGGAATAAGCTTTCTAAATGTAGGATTGTAGGAAGAGCTCGACTCAACAGCAATTCTTGTATTTACTAAGTAGAAAGCATTTAAAACCGCTCTCTCTTTGGAAGTCGCATCTGCACCATTAATATGTCCTTCCTTTCATTAGTAAATAGAAAAACAATGTCGGCATGATGACATTGTTTCTGAATATAATGTCTAACCTTTGTCTTAGTAGTCCTCCATCCTGTAGCTCTTTTTTCATCTGGAGTGTAAGAGAAACTTTCTATAGTACCAGGGTCAGCTTTGGGACTGGCGCTAGAGCATGTTGAACTTTTATAAGGAGTGGAAGAGAAACTCTTAATGTTGCTAGAGTCACCGGGACATGGGGGCAAATCCTAGAATGGTCACAAATCAAATGTAGTGTTAGTAAGGAGGAAACATGCCAGACAAAGATATGAAGCCAATGAAACTAAAAACTTTCGCTACTTAATCATGTTTTCCACTTTTCCTTTTAGGCCATGTATGAGAAATTAAAGGGTACATCAAGGGATAAGACGTAATGTGCATAGTGCAATTTTATATGCAGTTGTGCATATACTATATTATGTTGGAAACTCTCGCATCACACGTGATTAATTGAGATTTACAGTAATCCAAAAGTGACGATAGAGGCCAAAAGACGAGAAGGTTACCACTTTTGATGAATCAGTGGCCTTTATCAAGAGGGAATCAGAATAGAATAGTATCTGCAAACAAAAAACAAGTACAAAGAGGATGAGAGTTCATGTAACAGATAATCATTAACAGAATCAAATGTCGGATTGATGATACATTCATACATCTCACATGAATAAGGCCAAACACTATTGTCAAACAGATGCAGCATAAAAACATACCTTGTTAAGAAATTGGATATTTAATGCATCAGCAGCCATGACCTGTACACCAAGATTGGTTGGTTTGGCACAGAATGGGCAGAAAATAGCTTTGAATACACATCCATCATCTTTACACCAAATCCCCTCAGAAGGAGTACTTTCACAAGTTATATTGTAGATTCGATGATCAATCGATTCCATATCGGTTATCAAAATAGGAATGCTTGATGTTCCCAAATCAAGGTCTGATTTCCTCTGCCAAAGTGATTTTATATGAATCTTTGTTGATGAAGTGATTAAGCAACGAACTATTAAGTTGTTCTCAGGAAGACCCAATGCACTTGTGCAGCTTGAGCAAAAAATTTGTAGTCTATTGTCCAAAACAAGGGTAGACTTCACATGTAATCGATCACAATGATTCAGGGTTCCTGACCTAGGAAATTTGGACCCATAGTTATATGATGTATTGACCATGGAATCACAATCAGTGCCCATGTTTTCACCTTTGGTCTCCCTTAAGCGTGGCTGGGAGTAATCATCGACAGGAGTGGTAGCGACTGTAGAATCAAGTTTCTCTACATTGAGGCTAACAGAGGATAAATCGAAGTGTTTTCTCCTTTTTTCTGCATGGGAGTTCACACTTTCTACATCAGGAGTTATACCATTATGTGCTGCACAAGGATACCTTTCGGGTGTGACCATAAAACATTTTGATTCAGGGCTCATCTTTGGATCAGGTATGGTCATAGTATCACATGTCAAGTTGTTTGAATGTTCAACAGATGCTTGAATAACTGTTGAATTGGAATATTCCTTGGAGAATGATTGGGGGGAGGTAGAATGAACAGTGCCACTGATACTATGAGTTTCCTTTCCAAAAGCAGATTCTTCTGTGTCACTAATGTAAGCTGCCATCAATGCTTCTCCGGAGCACCTGCCAATATATAGAGTATTATTTTTCATGATACCAAATGACAGCATGCTATCTCATTATCTTAGACATTCAGCCTTGTATCCTAGAATGTCTAAAAGTCGCAAGGCTAACCTTATTGCGTAGAGGCGGAACGCAATTTTAAACAATGAGACATTGAACAAGAGCAGCAGTATATTAGCATATTCCAACCAAACAGAATAATGAAAACTCAAACACTGATAGAGGCTGTCAATTTGTAGTTAGGTGACAGATAAGTTGGAAAGTCAATATTTACCAAATCCTACCTGGGACCATTTGGAGAATCACATTCTAAATCAATATAAGTTTTGTTGTCTTTAGAGTTATTTTTGTTTGTAGACCTATAGCCCTGAATACCAGGGCTCACTCCATTATTAGGTGAACCACATATTGAGAACATCTTCAACGGTTTGGGTAGGCCAGCTGATTCCTGATTTCTTTTTGCAACACTTGCTTCAGCATCTTCCCTTGGCAAAGTTGAAACATTCGATATCTGATTGTTTTTTGCATATATCTGGCTCTTACTTGCACAAGGTGTAACCTCGAGATTAGCAACAGAGCCTTGTGTGGCATCTGTCGGTTTCCCAATACGTTCCTGATAGAAAGCAGAAAAATAAAACTACAGTTATATTTTGCAGTTACCCCATCTGCTCCCTCCTATCCCGAAAGAAAGAATGTTAATGAAGTACCTTCACGTTTCTGAAAAAGGATTCCAACCCATCCAATGAATCCTCAAAGCATTCGTATTCTTTAATTGAATTCCGCAACCACTTTGAAATGTATCCCCTATTTCTTGCCTCACAAAAGCGCTCATCTGTATGTAAAGGAAAACCTCAACAAGTTCTCTGAAAAATATGATACGAGTTTTATTACACGACCAATGCTTATATCGATTATCCCTAATGAGGTACTAGTTTAATACCCTGAAAACAGAATGAACAAAAACCGGACTTCTTTATGATTTCCATCTACATGTATCCTAATTTTGTTATATCAGTAAAGCTCCTTTTGTCAATATCAGTTCTTAAACAGAAAAAATGTGTGTCGAGTAATAATTACCTAAAAAAATGATAGCTCCATAATCAAATTTATGTCGAATACAGCGGCCTACATAGAAGAAAGGTAATAAATATCAGGATCAAATCCAGTTCAAAGTGGTTCATATAATAATTTCCTTTATTCATGTTAAATACATAGTATTTTATATAATATTTTATTGAGGTGTGCACCTGTAGCCTGATTAACAGCTCGGAATGCTTGCTGGCAGTACCAATCACTTCCACTAAGAAGACTTTTGGACAGCTTGTATGTATCATTGAATTTCTTCTTTTGAGCAACTTGAATATCATTTCTGATCATACACGGCCAGAATTCAAAATATTATACAAGCTAAATAAAGGAAAGAAATTACAGAGATGAAGTACGGTGTCTCACATGTTTGGAAAGGGAACCCCAACAACTATCTGTAATATAATCAGAATTAAGGAGCCACATGTCACAATGGAAACTCCTTTAATTAAATAAACCTCTGAACAAGCATGGCACTTTTACAGAATATTACTATTGTAGTGAAGATTGATCTTTACAGAGAATCTGAGATGCAATTTGAACCCTCATTAAAGGAAAACCTATCAAAGATACTACTACATCAAATATAAAATTCACCGGTTGCTAGAACTAAAGAAGAAATTGTATTAACATCATTCAAGGAGAAAAAGGATACGACAACTCTAGCCATGTCATCGGAGAAATCAATGCCTTCAGAAACCTGCACTAATCATATTTGATTTCAGAATTCAGAAGATACACAACTTGCCAATTTTGACTTTATAGATAGACAAAATCAGGTTGCAAGAGGTATTGACATATCAAGATAGCGAGCTAAAAGATAGAACAAAGTACTTAAGATGTTAGTTCTTTTCGAAAGTTA